TTTTTTTTTTTTTTTGCCAAAGAATATTCTATTGTATGAGTAGACCATGGTACATTCACTTCGGCTCCTCTTCCTTTGACTGTATTGCAAGTCCCAGGATCAAACTCAGACTTGAGAGAAACTGGGAAATATAGTCTATATGCCCAGAGAAATGGAACCTATTACAATAAATAGGTAGTAATATCCCTGGCTTATCCTCCCTATCTCCAATTACCCCACCAAAATCTATGAATACACAAATGCCACACATAAGTGATGTTCTAGCCTATTTTATTTTTTTGATAAAAACAGAAAAATAAAACCCCAAAACAGAAATTGGGTCATTTCTAGAAATAGAAGCTTATTCAGTTCATGGTTCAGATGTCCAAGGTCTAGGGGCCACATATGATGGGTATTTCCATTGGTGGTGTCCTGAGGCTTTGCAGGGTGAGAGCCGAGCAGCTGGTTCTGTGCTCTGGTTTCATTCTCTCTTTACAAGACAACCAGAACTCAACCATGGGGATCCCACCCTAATGACTTTATTTACAACACTGTACAACACCATAATAAGATTAGGTTTTCATTCTTTGAATCCCATCTCAACCATGTGTTGCATGAACTGTTTTTTTTCAGAGAGATTTTTGCTATAGGGCTCATGTTTTTGCTGGAGAAACAGAGACAGAGAGACAGAAAGTAAGAAATCACCCCTCCTCTCTTGCCAGGCAGGGTGGCCACACTACAACCCCTTCTCCTCCATTCTCCTCTCAGGATTTTGGGCACCCACACACACATGCCTGGTGTGAGTTTTAAGTCTCTGAGACAGGGACTTGTGGGAGTCACAATGTAACCATTATGCCATCTGCTAATCCCAACACACAAACTTTTGAGAGACATTTAAAATCAAGCATTCTGCCTCTGGCCCCCTCTAATTCATGTACTTTTCTTATATAGAATCATCCACTAGACCAGGGTCGTAACTTGTTCCAATTCACAAATCTAAAGTCCAAAGTCTTCTTTGAGACTCAAGGCAAACTCCTTCAAGCTGTGAACCTACAAAATCAAAACAAATTACATACTCCCAAAATACAATGGCATAACAGGCACAGGGTAGAAATTTCCATTCCACAAGAAGAAAGAAACAACAGGTTCTAAGTAAGTCTAAAACCCAGGAGAACAGACATTCAGCCTTGAAACTCTATGTGTTGCATCCTGGACACATTGAGGGAGTTGGGTCCTCAAAGCATCAAGCAACCTTGCCCCCTTAGCTTTGCTAGAGTCAGTCTATTCTTCGGCTCTCTCCAGTTGGAATGTCATGCCAGATGCTGATTTCGGGCTGATGTTGCATGTGGTTATTTCCACAGTTCTGTGGTCTTCAGGGCGGTATTACCCCTGTGGGTCTATCAGGCTTTGCCCTGATGAGAACTCTGTGGCAGATATGATCCCACATTTCCTCTGGCTTTTGGCTAGGGGAAGCTCTCTGTTGTCTGAGACATCCTTTAAAATTCAGCTGGAGGCCTCTATGCTTCCACAGCTCTGAATTCTTAGAGCCTAAAGAATTGCCTCGACTTGCATGGCACTACTTGAATTGCAAGCCACTAGTCTATGGCTTGCTTGTTCCAGAGCAGAGGGTGCAGCAGCAGCTGTAATGGCAGGTAAAACTTCTCCTGGGACCAAAGAACATTTAAACTGGGCACAGGGAACAGAGTCCTCAGTAGCTCATGACAAGTCCTTCCTCGGCTGGTCCTCTGAAACCATTCTGGTGTGCTAGGTCTCTGCACTTGTGATGGGAAGGGGAGAAATACCTTCAAGGCTTTTCTCTCCTTTTCTTAATGATTATTACCTGGATCCTTTCTAGTCCTGCTAATCTCTTTAGGAGCTAATGTTAAGCTATGCCTTTAGTTTTCTGTTCCGGCAAATGCTCCTTCATTCTTTATCACATGGCCAAGCTGCAAAATTTCCACTCTGCTTCCCTTTTCATTATAAATTCTATCTTTAAGTTATCTTTTTGCTCTTTCATTTCACTGTATGCTGCTAAAAGCACCCACACAACTCTTTCTATATCTTGCTTTGAAATCTCATTTGCCAGATCTTTATTACTCTTAGATTCATCATTCCACAAAGCCTTAGGACATGGACATTTTGGAACCAAATTCTTAGCAATGGTGCAACATGGACTACCTTTTCTCTAATTTTCAGAAACATAGTACTTATTTTCCTCTGAACCCTCCTCAGAACAGCCTTAATTACTCATATTTCTATCAGAATTCTGGTCCCTGCCCTTTAACCAACCCTAAAATGTTCCAGTTTATTTCTAAACTACTCTTCTTCTGAGCCTTCACTAGAATCTAAGCTTCCTCTAGTCTACTCCAAACTGTTCTAACCTCTCTCCTTTACCCAGGACCAAAGATACTTCCATATTTCAGGTATGCTAGCAACACTCCACTTCTTCATACCAATTTTCTGTTCTAGTCTGTAAAATAGTTGCTAAAAACATAAAATACCAGAAAGTGGTGATTTCTATAAACAGGTTTATTTGGTTCGTCGTTTGGATGTCCAATGTCTGGGAACTATATCTAACTAGAACTTTCCCATTGGTGGGGTCCTGAGGTTTTGCAAGGTGAGAACAGAGCAGATAGCTGCGTTCCTAAATCTCTCTATTCTGTCTCATTCCCTTTACTTATAAACCCACCATTACTCAATCAATGACCTCGATTCTCATCTCTTCCCAAAGGTCCCACTTTACAACGACTTAATTGACTAAGCTTTCACTCTCTTAATCCCGTTACAACCAAGTCAACTCATAAACTTCTGGGGAACTTCTGGTTCAAAACCAGAGCAAGTGATATGTGTGTGTGTGTGTGTGTGTGTGTGTGTGTGTGTGTGTAGAAGCTAAAGGGTTCAGGTCTGAGTTGGCTTAATAAGCAATAATGAGTATGTGTGGGACGAAGTGGGAGAGAAACACAAAGCATAAATTGAGGATCAGAAGTAACATTGAGGATGTTACTTAATCCCTCCCTGCTCTCTCAGAACTTCTACAGACCACAGAAGAAGGGTCAGCATGGATCTTCTCCATGGCCTCAGAAGCAGGGAGACCCCATTGACCTGTGGGTTACAGTTAATAGAATTATTTAGAATGTTCTTTGAACAGCTCTTGAGAGGGATGTTCTGAGGGTTTCTAAAGCCATATCTTTTGTGCTTTCAGATTTTTACATTGGCAGCACATTGCTGACTCTTCTTAGCTGTTAATACATATGCATCACTATAGCTCAAAGCCTGGAAGCATGATTTTTAGAAAGAAAATATTACCTCTTCTTGCATTCTTGGAACAGTCATCAAAGGAGAAATGACCTCCAGAAAGCATGGTCTTTGTAGAAGAGGGAAAGAAATTGTGCTCCTGGGCCTTTCCTGAAGCTGATGCTGCTACCAGAGGTTCAGGGTGAAGAGTTATTAGAGCTGATGCTGCCCAGGGAGTTACTTAAGGACACATTTTGCCTGGACTCTCTTTGATTCTCAGCAATGTTTTTTACTTAGCATTTTAATCATTTGGGAGAAAGGAGGGGGTGAGCATTCAAGGCCAGAGAATTCCATCCCTTTGAATAACAGGCTGAGCTGACCATGTCGACCTGTAGCTGGCTGGAAATCTGGGACAGCTGAGGGCCACACCTGTTCTGTGGAGCACACACTCCCCCTTCAGGATGCCTGAGAGCTGCTGAATATCCTAATGGAGGGGAAAAGTGCTATTGCTTCTTCCCTTTGGGAACAGATGGATGGAAATTCAGCCAGGAGTCTGTCTGCTGTCCAGAGGGAGGTGAGGTTTATTACAAATTCCACAATAATGCTGTGGAGCCACCCTCATATTTACTCTGCCCCATCCAGAAATTCTTGTCCAACAGCAAAACATCTATTTGTGGAAAGTCAAGAGGAAAAGAGTATAGAAGAAGCATTTTGTTGAAACTTTATAGTCAATTCTTAGAAATGCAACTTTGTTTTCTTGGGTCCTGAAAAATGGCAAGATTGAATGGTAGGATTTCATCTGGGGTTTAGAGCCTTCGCCCCTCTTTTTAAAAGAATTATTTATTTTACTTTATTTGTTATTATTATAGTTATTGTTATTTTTAAAATTTGACCAGTGAGAGAGAAAAAGAAAGTGAGAAAGCAAGCTGCCAAGTCCAGGACTCAAACAATGGTTGGCCATGTGAGAGTCTAGCACCCCAACCACTGCACCATCTGCCAGAGCCCCTTATCTTAAGGACCCAGAGAGAGGAGAATGAGTTTGTGTCAGATCCTTCTTGGGTTTCTTGACTTATCCAGATTGGTCAGATATTGCCCAGTGATTCGAAAGCTTTGATCAGACCTGCTCTGTACCAGGTGGCATTTTCAGCATGTTTTACATGTGCTCAGATAGTCCCCACAGCTCTCCAGGTTATTCTTTTAGGAACCAAAGACGTTGAATGAAGCCACTCTCAGGAGGTCACACAGTGGGCAAGGGAGGAGGGAGTTGGAATTCAAACCCAGGTTAGCTTCACCCCTAAGCCTGACCCTTTGCATAATATCATGGACAAAGATTTCTTGGCATTTTAACCTTGTGGGGCTGGCGCACCCTGTCCCAAGCTATGAAGCATTGCAGGATGGCCCCAGGCAGAGGAGCAGCAGATGACCACAACTGTGGGTTTCCTAATTACAATGTCACAGAGGACTTGCCCCAGCCCCAGCTCTGGATACAGAAGTACCTTTTAAGAAACACCCATTGCATAGACCCTCCTTCAACTCTGCAGGGCAGAGTTCCCATCTGGGAAGAAAACAAGGAGGGTGGAATCTCTCCAGGCTTGAGGCAGGCCATGCTTGTCTGGGCAGGTGGATTCATCATCCTGGACTGCCCCACCATGGCCTCAGCCCTGGTTGTCTGCCCACCAGGGCTGTCAGCAATGTCTCGGCAGCCTAGCTCCAGCCAGTTCGCATACATGTGGCCCAACCGTACAGCCAGTGGTAATGCTTTTATGACCTTGTTTGTTATTTTTCAGACCTAACCTCATCACTCTGCACTTCAGGGGCCTGACATGCAGCTCTCTGCAGGCACCAAGGGGGTGTTGGCCTTCCTGCAGCCTGCTGGCCACCTGAAGATTTGCTTCCTGCTCATCACCCACATCCTGCACAGCTGGCAAATCTCCTCCACAATGTTACTCTAACTCCAGAGATTCCCCAAAGGTTTTGAATTCTACTATTATTATTGTTGTTGCTGCTGTTGATGAGAACATACACTTTTTAGCTTCCCCAAAACTAGTATATTCAAATACTTTGTGTCGTCACCCTTGTTAAAAGGATAATTTTAAAAGGTAAAATCATGACTGTCATAAAATATGAAATGAACACATGTCAGTTTTTTTTTTTTTAACTCATCATTTAATGAGGAAACCAATAGTATGGTACAAGCAGTTCCAAGGATAATTCAAAGAACACACATATACGGGCAAGCAATGCTGAAATGAATTTAAAAATAGATGCAAAGTTGGTCAATATCCACAGGGCAATAAGCAACTGCATTCCATGGGACAGACTCTTTTAGACTTCTATGGATGAGAATCATTTGCTTAACCTAAGTTTTCTACAACTTGCACAATTGTCACTTTACTCAAAGATAATGAAAGGTACAGGTCCCTGGAAAATCTGTAGCCCTGGAACTGTGTATTAGACAGGATGGACACTTGGCTCTAATCCTATTCACCTTCTTCAGGTTTTTACCCAATTTCTCCTGACATGCACATAAAGATCTAAGCACATTTGCATTTGTGAGCCATCATGTCTACCAATTCCAGGTTTATATATTTTTGCTGCTTTTATTCTCATCTTAGATGAGGCTCAAAGAGTGTAGGTGGCCTGCCTGAGGTAAGAGAAATAACAAGTTTTCTGACCCAAGACTGATTTTTGAGCTCTTTCCTAAAGTACCCGAGACAAAGGAAGGGAAAGGACCTGCAGGCTCCACAGGGCAGCAGCCTGTGGCAGGTCTGAGGGTCTTAGGTTTCAGCACATGTGAATTTTACATGTGATCCCCTCATGGATCTGAGGTCAAAGACAAAAACCAATGTTTTTAAATTACTCAGTTATAGGTCAAACCATGTCCCTAAAACCGATGTGTTGAGATCCTAAGCCCCAGTACTTCAGAAAGTGACCTTATGTCACATAGGGTTGTTGCAGCTGTGATTGGTTAAATTTAGAGAGGTCATGCTGAAATAGGGTAGGCCCTTGATCCACTGTGCTTATTGTTCTTACAAGAAAACACCCAGAGACAGACACATGAAGGGAGCTGGCTCATGACAACAGAGGCAGAGATCAAAGGGCCACTATTGCTAGGCAAAGAACACCAGGAAAGCCAGCAACTTCTAGCTTCTGGCAGAACAAGGAAGGATTCCCCACTTAGAGACTTCAGAGGGAGCATGGTCCCATTAACACCTTCATTTTGGACTTTGAGACTCCAGAATTGTGAGACAATACATATCCGTTGGTTGAAGCCACTCTTTTGTGATGTTACAACAGCACCAGGAAATAAATATAATCACCATGAAGACAACCGGTGCTCCAGGAAGAAGTATCAGGCTTGTCCTGTTGGCTTCCAGGACCACACCACTATTGGGCCCACCAAATCTATGAACCTAGAAAGGCACGAGCTCCTTTTGTTCCTCCTCCTAAAATTTAGTGTTGGCTGTAAGTTCTGGAAGTTGAAAGAGATAAGCTGTTGGTATAGACTGGGGAACTATAAAAAGCTCATGGAAAAATGGCATGAAAGCATGAGTTTATTTTGGTACCAAAAATGTAAAACCCATGCACAGTTTTTCATAATATGCATTTCCACAAAATTTGTAAAGACCCCTCCTATGGATGTCTACTAGGTGGATGTCATATCGTCAATAACTTGGAAATGAGGGATACAAGCTTGCTGGTTGAGAGCTATGGTCAAAACCAACATGTAGAGTATGCCAGCATCAGAAAGTGATGGGTGATTCCCAGGTATGGACACCTCCTCACCAGGCGGATTCCTGGGTAGATTCAGAGAATCTTTGCATACCTCAGAACAAGGGCTTATCAATCATGGAATAGGTAAAAGAAGAGGCACAGAAGAAAGTTGGGCACCCCTGTCCAGAGAAGAAGGGATGTCAGGCTCTGGATTCTGCATCTTTCTTGTCCTAAGAACAGGGGCTAAGGCCTCTTCTGGGTGAGCTGGGTGTAGCAGGGAGAATTTGTGATGCTGACACTCAGAGCTGCAGGTAGCTTTACAGCCAGGACATGTAGAAGGTTCTGACTCTGGGGCTGAGGCTTCTTGGTGGTGAGATGAGGCCATCAAACCTGACGTTCTTGGCCTCCTCATTTTAATCCCGCAAACTCCGAGTCCCACAGCTGTGCCCAGCTACCTCTGCCTGAAAAGCATGTGCCAACCCTGAAACTCCCCGATCTCCCAGTGCTTCTCATGGAGAACCAGTCACATGACACCTGGACACCGCCTGGCTTCCAGGTGGCTCTGCTCAGGCATACTCAGAGCATGTCCATACTCCAGGAATTCCCATGGCACATTGATGCACTGGACTGCTGTGTTTTCCTATATCTCATTTGTGTGCCAGCTAGCATGAGTTTGCCTGTTGGGGCCTGGCAAAATCATATCCTTAGACATGCTCTCTATGCCACCCCCAGGTGCTCAGAGGTATCCTTTGCTGACATCTGTGCCAGGCACTGTGGGGAGCATGTTACACAGTCTCATCATAATCCCAATAATTCTGTATGAGAGAGAATGCCTTTCTCTCTCCTCATGGTAAGTTTTTAAATTATTTTTTGTTGTTGTTGCCAGAGGGTATGTACACTCACCAGAAAGAGACAGAGAGAGAAGGAAGAAAGTGTCTGCAATGGGATATGTTCACAATATAATCCCTTCTCCATTTCTCCATCCTGTTGGGGATTTGGGCATGCACATACATGTGCCCAGGCTGAGACACACTATGTGGCTGGCCATGTGGTATCTGGCTCCCTTAACCACCAGGCAACAGAGTGGACCTCTATCCCCATTTTAAAGATGAAGAAACTGAGGCCGAGACAGTTCAACACTTGCCCAAGGCTATATAGTCAGTGGCAGAGATAGAGTTAGTATCCAGGACTGTGTGAATTCTTCTGGCCTCTGACATTCCCTCACCAAGAGCTACCCAGGTGACCCAGAAGTTTGAAACCTACCAGGATCCCAAGAAGAGAGAGACTGTCTGAAACCACTGGCCCTCTGCCTGCTGGGCCTCCTTCCAAGCCGTTTTCCAGGTTTGGCTTAAATATGTGAGTCCTGTTTCCAACCTTAGCTGAAGTAGGCCCAGGTAGAAAACATCCCCATGGTAACCCTTGCTACCAACGAGCAGTGCATTACTTCTGGAAAAAATGATACCATGGTTCTCAACATTTAGGACTCTGTGGGTCTGAGGGACCAGTTAACTGGCACTGTTCACAGTTGGCTCAGCAGATACTTCTCAGCTTTATGCCCCTGATGTGGTATCCAGGAAACCCAACGTGTTTGCTCCTAGAGAAGAGGCAGATGGGAAGAGGCTGGCTGTGTTGTTCACACTGGCTCCAGCTTGTCTGGTCAGAGGGACTGGCAGAGCCAAAGCACTGGCTGGGGTATAGAAGTACCTGGACTGTGTCTCCCATCACCTGTGTCCCCCAAGGAGGGTCACTGGGCTGGGAGACCTACATTCCCACATAAAGGTTGCTCCCACTACCACAACCCACTCCATATTGAAAACTTGGCATGAGTCCTCTCTCTTTTGACTGGTCTTTGAGGGTCTGACATGTGACTGAGGCAGACATTGCTCACCGGTCAGCCAGCAGCCATTCTCTTCTTTCTTGGTGACCTTTTTCCTCCTCACACCCTCTCCCAAGCTTCCTTACAATCCCAGGTGGCCACATGACAAGATGTTGGCCAATGAGATTAAGGGGCTATCTCCTAGGAGACTTCTGGGGAAGTTGTTCCTGTCTTAGTGAAAGGAAAGAGACACAAGGAAAGAGCCCCTACCGTTTTCTATGAAGGAGCAGTCACGTGAGGACATGCTCTTTGGAACCATTCTGTGAGTAGGACAATGGCAGATTCTGACCCAGCATCCTGACAGGGTTGAGATGCTAACCCCTTTGCACCTGTCCACCTCCAGACCTCTTGCTTTGTGACATGATGGAATATCCTTGGTTGTCCGAGCCTTTTCAATTTAAAGCATGACCCCCTCAGATTAGCAGTTTCATGTAACTAGGAGCTTATAAAAATGCAGAATCTCAGATGCCTCCCTTAGACCTACTGAATTAGAATATACAATTTCATTTTTTTCTATATTCATGTTAGAGAGTACGTACATACACGTGAGAGAGATTGAGAGAGAGAAACACCCTCCACAGGGCCTGGCTGCATCACAATCCCCTTCTTCCAGTATGCCAATCTGGTGGATCTTGGGCACTCATGCAGGTACCCAGTGTGTTTTAGGCTGACCAAGTGGGGATTCTAACTGTAGTTACTGTATGGGATCCAGTTTCTCTTCAGAAGCCCAGTTTCTCTTCAGAAGCCAAGAAATTGGCTCCAGAATACACATTTTAGAAAGGTCTTTGGGCCAGGGGTGGTATGATAGTTAAGGCAGCTGGATCCCACGTAGCTAACTGTGTGGTTTGAGTCCTAGACCCAGTGACTTGAGAAACATGCTAGGTATCTGTGTGCATGTGTGTGTGTGTGCCCAAAATCCCGAGGGGAGGGAGAGATGAAGGAGAAGGGATTACATTGTGACCATTTCCCATGGGGGGCGTTTTCTCACTTTCTCTCTCTCTCTCTCTCTGTTCCTCTCCTGCAAGCATACATACCCTCTAGAAAATTAAAAAGAAATTTTTTTCAAGTGATTTATGTGCATGCAAAACATATAGAACCTAGATACTGACTGAGAGACAGAGAGAGAGATGGAGAGACAGAGAGAAATACATCTCTTCTATGAACTGACTTTTTCTAGAAATTCATTTTCTTGGTAGTTTATTTGTGTTTATGCTTCTTTGAGCTAGAAATGACGAAGTCTTAATCTATTCTAAAGGAAGACACAGCTTTCTCCACCCTCTCCATGATGGTCTCTTCTACCAGCTGCAGAAATAGCTGCAGGTCCACAGTTCACTGCTGTGGCGGGGGTAGGGGATTTTCACATTTGGCTCATGGTTCTGTGAGTTGAATTTTCCTTCATCTTCTCTGAAGTCTGGGCTTTAAGCTTAGAAAGATCAAAATTCAAG